GTCTCTGTCTCTGCCTCTGCCTCTGTCTCTGTCTCTGTCTCTGTCTCTGTCTCTGTCTCTGTCTCTGTCTCTGTCTCTGTCTCTTTCTCTGTCTCTGTCTCTGTCTCTCTCTCTCGCTGTCTCTCTCGCTCTCTCTCTCTCTCTCTCTCTCTCCCGCTCTTTTTCTCTCTATTTATATGGCTGCTGCCCATTGGATGACAGATTTGGAGGTTGTGTTTTGTTGCATGTCGTCACCCGCGATGGCATATGTTGAAAGATGACACCTGGCATGCCACATGTTGTGCACGGAGTTTGCACCTAGCCAAACATGATTCTCTTGCTAGAGCAAACTTACACTTAATTACAAAAATATAGATACATGTCACAATGCGATCACATATTCGTGTGATTAAATTACTGCGCGACAGGTATATCAACCGTCAACGCAATGCTGCATGTCCAGAAGCAAGTGCAACTTGCCGAGGGCTAGCGTGAGTTCATCTGTCTGCAGAGCGTGCCTGCCCAAGTCAGCGCTAGAAGATTCTGGCTTGAAATTTGGAACCTGTGTCTGTTGGAGCTGGAGGGCCAGGATCCCACAGAAGTCGAATTAGAAGCAAAAGTTTGAGAGATACATTTAGTTCGCCTGCTCCGGTCATATTACGAGAAAGCGTGGGAGCTAGGGTTCATTTCAGCCGCCATGTGCTTTCACGGTGGCGCATGAGACAGAAATGCATGTACTCAAATAAATCCTCGAGTCAACCTAAGGACCCCTAAGCCCGAGACGCACAACAATCCATACATCCTAAACTCCTTTGGTCCTGGAGCCGTGCCTAGACACAAGAGAATCCAGACTTAAATGCCCCTAATGGCAGAACCAACGGTTGTGAGGCTCAGGACTTGTGGATTCTGGTGGGCATAATTTGTGGCATATGTGTCGTGAGTGTTGGTTTAAAGCTGGGGTCTGAGGCGTGGGATGCACAGCGTTTGGCATCGAAGCCTCCGCTCTTTGGGCGGAGTCTCGGCCAATCTGGGCTTGGGGCCTGTGTGCAAGACAGAAGACCGCTCCTGAGGAAGAGCGTGCAGCCGATGGCTGCCCCACTGTAGAGGGCAATGGAGACCATCGTAATCTGGAAAGTGTTGCCTGCGTTTCGAACTGAGGTATTTGCAGAAATCACTAACGTATTCCACATACAGTTTGCAGTTTGCAGCATCAGCGAAAATGACACGCATGCCCTGGTCATCGATGCTGCATGTGCCTGCGGAGGCTTGCATATGTGCAAACATCGAACCTCCACTCCCCCCTCCCCCCCAGGCCCGAAGTGATTTGGGGATATGGGCCTCAGCTTGTGCGGCGGCGTGGTGTTGAGGGGAAGGTAAAAGGTCTGGTTGCACTGAAGAGGAGATAGGTGTTCAACACGCAGCTCTACAGCTGTGTCGGTTTGGTCAAGGCGACCCAAAGCCTTGGGATCGAATGCTTCAGTGGCTTCGAGTATCCCTCAGGCTTGGCAGTAAGCGGCTCCGGTTGAACACTTGAGCTTATGGAAATGCTACATTTAAGCCAGAGGCATAGGCAGTGTTCCGTTTCAGGGGAACTCAAAGAAGACTTTCGATGCCGAAAGCCCACAGGTCCAGCGTAAGCACTGACAATACCCAGTCATGTTTTCCCTCTGGGCAGCGGTCCTTGCAACCACCCAAGGATCAGCAGTCCCAGCATCCTGGAGAAAGCTCCATGTTTAGGCTGTTGAGATGAATGAAGTAGAGCACTGCCATCAGACGAACCGACATGACAGTGGTGCCGATGGTCGTGCTGCTCAGTAAGTTAAGCTGATGGTGACGATGACTAGGACATCGCGTAGGACATGCAATCGTGATGCCCGTGATGATCATGTGAGATTGGCGATCATGATGGCGGTGTTGATAACGAAAAGGAGAAGCTCGGGTGTCTTGATGCTGACAACCACGGCAATTACGTTGATGATGATGACATGATGATCCACATTGCTGAGGCCGGCTGATGGTCGTCAGAAAAAGCATGATCATCTATGGCATTACCTGTTCTGATCTCCTTCGTCGTGGCTGTCGGGCTGGTGGTGGTGGCGGCGGTGGTCTGCTGGTGGCTGTGAGGGTTCTGCTGCACAAGGATATCGGAGTCTCAAACCCTGCTTCAATCCGGATGGATCCTCCCAAGCATGGAATGTACACTAATTCGGTCCTCAATCCTACTTCAGAAAATGCAGGCAAATACGGCCCTTGAGCCTATGGGCCGGCGGGTTTTGGACACGGGGCCATGGCCGGACTTTGGCGGGCCTGTGTGCCCGTTGCAGCACTTCGGATACTCACGGGACACCGGCCAGAAGCTTAGAACAAAAGCGGCTGTCTTGCACGGAATACAAACGAATAACATCCCCCAAACGCTACCGAGAGGCGTGCTGCAGTAGCAAAGTGTCAGGAAACCCAGCAAGGGGCACAGTGCGCGTGGCAAGGCCAACCTGGGCATGCGTCAGCTCCGTTTGCTGCTGACATCAGCATCCGAACAGGCTGCATGTTTCAAGCCCGGTAGCGGTAATGTTGTTGTGTTTTTTGTTGACGTTGCTGCTGCCGCTGTTGCTGCGGCTGATGCTTCTGCTGCTCGTGGTAGTAGCACTAGTAGCAGTACTTGCCGCAGCCATAGCAGCGGCAGCAGCAGCAGCAGCAGGAGGAGGAGGAGGAGTAGTAGTAGTAGTCGTAGTAAGAGTAGTAGTAGTAGTAGTAGTAGTAGTAGTAGTAGTAGTAGTAATAGTAGCGGTAGTAGTAGTCGTAGAAGCAGTACTAGTAGCAGTAGTAGTAGCAGTAGTAGCAGTAGTAGTAGTCGTAGTAGTAGTACAAGTAGTAGCAGTACTAGTAGCAGTAGTAGTAGCAGTAGTAGCAGTAGTAGTAGTAGTAGTAGTAGTAGTAGTAG